TCCCCGACCTGGAACTAGACGTACTGGTTGTTGACCTCTGAAGAGGACTGTTTTCACTCTCCCTCCGTAAACACGCGCGCGTTGATTGTTGACTGAACTGATGAAGCCGAGACCTCAGGTCAGTCACCTCTCAATACCTGACCTTTCCTTAGCTCAGAACAAGAGCCCTCTCCACTCATCACACCCACAGGATGAGGCATTAATTCCATCATATATAAACATATGTTTTATACTCTCATGTCCTCAAGTTTCCAAAAATGGATTTTACAGCTGGAAAACATGTTTTTTAAACGGCTGTGTGGTGTCCTGTCGTAAATGACCTGTGGTCCTCTACGTGGCCCTGTCGTTGGCCCTTCAGGCAGCTCCTAGGTCTTCATTTTAAATCCATTTGGGGTGAAAGCTCTTGCCTATGAATCTTTCTTTGCCCCACATGTCACTACTCCTTTACAGTGAAATTGCACATTTTTAAAACCTGATATGTTTTACCCAGCTGCCACCAGAAGCGGCAGGACCGTCAACAGTGTACCAACAGAAAGGCGCTGGCATCTGGCGAGCGCTCGACGCCAGGCTCATAGCCAAGCGCTTGGTGGGGATTCTCTCATTTAATGCTCCAGCCGCTTCTGGAGGCAATCCTGAGTTCCTCCTTCCACGTTTGAAAACTAAGAAACCGAGGGGCACTGACTTTGCCCAAGGTCACACAGCGAGGATTTAACCCCCCCTCATGACCCCAGGACTCTTGACCTTGCTGCGGACAGGGAAGGAGAAGCCTGAGAAATGCAGGCTCTGTGCAGGGGACGTGGCCACGTAGCACAGGTAACTGCAGGTCCTGTGGCCAGCACAGGGGACTCCTGGGGAGGTGGGGGTACAGTGAGGGGGGCTGCACCCAGCAATAGAGCCGCCCAACTTTGTGGGTAGGGGCTGGTGAGACACTGTCACCTCCTCGACCAGGGAGCGTCCTCAGCTCCGAGAGGCTATTTTTAGGGTCTCAGATGGTGGGCAGTGACAGAAATAGTCCATTTCAGTCTTGGAGTGATCCACTTTTACTCTAGGGAAGGGCAAGCTTGTTGTCTCCTGGCCAGCCTCCCGGGGGCTCATCCACACGGCCCCAAAGGGACACCTCTGGCACCCCGAGCCTTGGCCCAGGGTGAGGATGGGGCCCAGACAGACCTTCCTTCTCCGCGTTTGGGGTCCCTGGGGTGAGAAGCAGTGAACGCCATGGAGTCCAGCTGCCTTTGCCGCTCTGACAAAGCTCACCCTTCTGGAAACCTTGGACGTGTGACCACTGGTCTGGAGCTGACCACCCTCTCGGCCCAGGCCTGCCACTTGAAGAACCTCAGTGGGTTCTGTCCAGGGCGGAGAGCCAGGAGCAGCAGACCCCGAGGCCGGGAGCAGGGCAGGCGGACCCATCCCTGGTGACTGGCTGCACAGACTGGCCAGCAATTGGATTGACCTGAAGTTCTCCAGGCAGCACCGGCCTGTGGGCTGCTCGCCATCCCCCCGCAAGACCCCCACTTCCTGTCGGCCTCAGGCCTGGGCCTCTCCCGGGGACCACTCCACAACATGTCCAAACCGCTGGAACAGAGCCTTGGTGACACTGGCACCCCAAAATGCACGCGCCCCAGCTCTTCCCTGACTCGCAGGGGAGGCGTCTTCCCCACTGTGTTGGCAACAGCCTTCCAGCAGCCTCCACTGGAGAGCACGGAGCCAGGACTGGAGTTTGTCCCTCTCCAAGCCCAAAGCCCATGTCCCTTCCCCGCCATAGCCCACGTGCTCCTGAGGACCCCTGCTGCTAAAGATCAGGCCCTACTGGAGTGTGGAACTTGCCCAGTGGGGCAGAGGAGGGTCCACCCGCCGGGCGAAGGCCTGGCGGGGCCCATGAGACCCTGTGAGGGTGAACACCCAGGTCTGAGCTCCCCGACACCGTGACTTTACAGTTCTGAAGCTGAGCCCTGCATGAGGGGTTTCCTGGACACCTGCAGCGGGCTGGTGGCCAAGGCGGGTCTGAAGGGCATTCCACGGTGTCAGGATGAGCCACCCCTTCCATTTGCTGCACCGTGACCTCAAGTCTGTCAGCTTCCCTGTCTGGGCCTCAGGTTCCTGCTCTGAGATGGGAGAGGGACTGACTTCTCAGAGCCGGTTGTGCGTCTGTAAGCAGATGGACAGCGTTTTGCTCTGTCCCCTCGATGCACTGAGACTTCAGAGAAGGTGGCAGCATCTGGGCGTGGCCTCTGTGGGAATGGCCCTGGCTCCCCCTGGGCCCTTTGCCCCATCCTGGGAGTCGGACGTGGGAGCACAGGATGATGTTAAAGGCCACCCCGACCCGGGTCTGGCAGTGAGCCTGCGCTGGGGGTGGGGGGAGCAGAGAAGGTAGAGGGTGGGAGCAGTGGGGCCTGGGCAGAGGAGAGAGGCAGGGCTGGCCACCACTGTCCCTCCTCCATTCGGCCGGTGCCTCCGTGAGCCAGGCACTGAGAATAGCAGAGGACAAAGCTGACTGAGGCCACTGCCCCAGTGGAGCTGACGTGCTAGTGGGGCCGATTGTGGCCTTGCACTGCCCAGTACAGTAGCCACTCACCACGCACAACTGTTGGAATTTAAATGAATTAAAATTAAATAAAACTTAAAATTTTATTTCTTCTGGGGCCGGCCCGGTGGCATAGTGGTTAAGTTCTCATGCTCCGCTTCAGCGGTCTGGGGCTCGCAATTTCAGATTCTGGGCGCAGACAGATGCACCACTTGTCAAGCCATGCTGTGGCGGCGTCCCATATAAAGTAGAGGAGGATGGGCATGGATGTTAGCCCAGGGCCAATCTTCCTCAGCAAAA